AGCAAATTAGGGAGGTATGAATAGCAATTCCCTAAATTTAAAGATATTGATAACATTAATGCTAGAGATAGTAAAGATGAAATAGAAGTATTGGTATATATAGCAATAAAACAAATATATTTTACTTTACACATATATACTATATATTATATATGTATATATTGTTATATATATTAATTGATAATTGAATATGCATAGAATAGTTACACAAATATGTATTGTGTACCCACATGATTAATGATCGACAAAACCTGGCACAGAATTTTTTCATGCTAGTCTGAGCTCTTATTCTTGCATGTAGTTTATATATATTCATATATTTATGAATTGAGCTATATATATAGTTTTTTATATAATAACTTATATAAATTATTTAATAAAGATATAAGCAAGGCCTCACCTTTAACAACAAAAAAAAAAAAATAATAATAATATATTGTTTTTATTTCTTGTGTTTTTTTCATATTTACTACTTTTGTATGATTTTATTGTTAGAGTTATTAGAGTCTTTGTAGCCATTAGAGTTGGTATTTGTGAGATGTTATATTGTATTCTTTTTTCTTTATATTTACTAATACTTCTCTTTTTTTAGGTATAATTTTATCATTAAAGTTATCTAAAGATGTTAGTAACTTTGCTAGTAGCCAGCTTTAGCTATAAATTCAAACTAAGCCTAATTAAAGCTAAGCTAAACTATAACTTAAGCTATACTTGAGCTATATCTAAATTATAGCTTAAAAAATTATTAGCTTCTAGTTTGGCTATAGCTTAAAACTGCTAGAGCTTTGGCTTTAAATTCTAGCTAAAAAATTATTAGCTCTAGTTTTAGCTATGGCTTAAATATCAGCTTCTAGTTTTAGCTATAGCTTCAATATTAGCTTCTAGTTTTAGCTATAGCTTGAAACTTATAAGAAGACTTTTGTATAATAGCTAATGTAAATTAAATAGATATTTCTCTAAAATTAGATTTCTGTATTTTTGACTTTGAAATCTTTAATGTATAAATTATAAAATAAGACTTTTAAGAATCTATAATATTGTGCATTCTTAGATAATATACTTGCTATTAATTAAAATAGTACTCAATTATTATTTTGTTATTAATTAGACCATTTTTGAAAACCAATAGTAAGTTGTTGAAGATAAATATTATAAATGATAATGATTAAAATATGCTAATTTATGATCATGTTGGTGTTTAAGCATTATGATTAATTAAAATAGTAATTGCAATTGATACTTAAGCAAACACCTTTGTCATTATTACTATTTAATTATTGTTTTTATAAATAAATAATAAAAACAATAGATTAACAAAAGGATAAGAATCTATAACACTTTTAAATTCTGATTCTTTTTCAAAATTTACTACAAACCAAAAAATGCCTTTTTTATTTGTGACAAATATTTTTATTATAATTTGTCAACATTGATAATAAAATACTTGAACAATTATTTTTCTAATTAATTATTGAAAATTTTAACCAATAAATACAACTCTATGATAAAAAAAGGATGTCTGAGCTCTATTTCTTGTTGATTGGAATGATAAATATCTTTGGTAAGTTAAATGAACTTCTTCTTTTTTTTTTTTTTTTTTTAAGAGAGGTCTTTCCTCTATTCCTTTATTTCAAAATATATAATTAGATACAACCGTAC